ATTTTCAATGGAGCTTGAATTGGTTCAGTGCACCCCCAGGTGAAATGTGAGGGCTTGGCAGAGCATACATATGTACCAGTGCAGAAGGTGATAAGGTCAGAGCTGTTTATAGAGAGTGTTGGGACATGATTGTCTCAATTGTTGGGACCAAAATAATGGATTATGCATCAGTGCTCATGGACAATAAGCACACGATAGCTGCATGCCATTCTGCACAGATAATGAGCAGCCATTTTAGTTTGTAAATCTGAAGTTGCCACCAGTCACTCTATGTGCAGCTCTGGATAAAGTTGGCCAAGAATGCCCCCACCCTGCTGCATTGCTATGGCCTTGATAGATACAGTTAGCAGTATTGTAGGCAATTGTCAGAATGGTACAAAGATGACAGCTGCATACCAGACGCCAGACAGCAGTAACTAGCATTGAGTGGCCATTTGTAGCGTTCATCTTCCTTCCAAATCAGTTACCAAAGCCGAGTATGTCAGAGGGTTAATGTTAACATGTTCTCTTCCAATTCCTGCAGTTTTGCCCTTAGATACTGTTTTTTAAATCTAAATTAATACACTGGTTCAGGTTGTTCTTACTTCAAGCAAAATTGAAAGGGGAGTCTGGAATTGTACTCATGATGCAAAAGCCTGTCTTAGTATGAGCAAAAGTTTCTGCAGGATCAGTTATTGGTAATCAGCAATCAAAGCCAGTTGAGAAAATACCATGTCTTTTTATTTTCCTGATTAAAAAAATCATCTGCCATTCTGGACACTCATGTATTCTATAGTTCGATTTTGTTAGAATCTTGTGCTGCATTTTACTGTTTAACTTTTTGTCTCCCTCATTTCTTCTATTTTCAGGGGTCATGTGTAGAATATGTTCAGTTACTTCACAGTATTTGCAACCCCAGTCTGGATGTAAGCATGACCTTTGCCCTCTGAACTCACCTGATCTGGGACATTGCACGAACCAATCATGAGCAAGTAATAGTGCAATGGATTTTGGCAATCAGACAGTTCCCAGCGAAATGGATTTAGCAGAATAAGTGAACGAAATTACCATAGCCCTTTCTGTATGTCAAGAGTGGCCTTTGTTGGGTTGAAGCAAGAAAATTATACAAATCAGACAAGATTACAAATCACAATTATTTCCAATTTCCTTCTAGTTTTTGTTAACAGTATGCACTTTTTTGTATAACTGGCCTTAACCAGTACACAGGTTTATCTTGTTTTATTTTTATAAGCTGTGAAATAAAAAATTGCATGTTTTTAAAACGGGCATCCCCTTTTTCCTATCATCTTTGACCACAGTTTGATGGTTTCAGGCATGTTAATAATGCAGCTTCATAGTGTAAAACTTAAAGCAAAAAGTGTCAATAGCACATTTTGTTCTTTTTTTTTTTTCAGCCGGCAACTCTTCTGTCATGGATCAAAGAATTCCAGCAGTGTGCTTCATATCTCGGGCAGGAATTTGAGCCTCTGGTCAAAGCTCTCCTGGTAAGCATTTCACAAGAGGCTTGATGCCGTTTGCAAATTGACATATAAATAGAATGTGCTATTTGTATCCTGGACCAGGGAAGATTGCTGGCAGCAGTTCTCTTGAGAGTTAGGATTAAAACACCTACAAACAAGAAAACAATTTTTACCGTTCTGTGATTAGTTTTCTGCCCATTCTTTGATCCTTGATTGGCAATTTGGGATTTTCCCTGTCCCATCTAGAAAATGGCTCATCAGTCAGTAACCGTGCAGTGCCTGTGATAGTATCGTTTTCATCTACGTGTACCTTCTCGGGTGAGGCTGTGTTTCTTTTGAACTTCATGTTTATTTATTGCCTTTTTTCCCCCCTCTGCAGCAAGTGAATTGGTCCAGTAGAGGGCCCAAGATGCTGAAGGAGTACCGTCGTTTTGTGACTCGCCTCATCTCAGCCCACTCGGTGTACCTCGCATCAGTCCTGAGAATGCTGGCCAAGAACCTTGTCCCTTCAGACCCGCTGCTAGGTGAGCATCTTCGTGCATTAGTTTCCATGGAAACCATTGTTGTCTCTGTTAATGTTACAAATTGAACACATTATGAAATGATTTCAGAAGTCTTGAGGAAAGTTCAAAATTATTAATCGTGAGGTCATTTTTGAAACAATGGTAATAATAACTCAATAAACTTCCAATGGATTAATTTCTGGGATATTTCATGGCTTGTTAAAAAAATTGCAACATTTCTATCAAGTTTCTGTATGGGGCATATTAGTTTTACCACATTATCTGTCTATATTGCATATGAAAAGTCTAAAATAGGAGCCAAAGATAAGTTTGGAGTCTGTTATTGGGGTTTGTGTTGCCTCTGAGAAAGATTTTGCTAGGATTGAAACGTCAGGCCTTCCATATTTTGTAAAAAAAAAAAGAAAGAAAAAACAAAAATTATTAGAATTTCATCTGTGAATGAAATTAGACTAAGAGATGAGTTATTTTCTGTAGGGACCACACTTCATCAATTCACGACTGGAAATCTGTAAAGCTGCAAAAGTTTTGTCGCTACTTCGATGTTTTTTTCATTTTCCCCTTCAGTATTTGCCCACCCAAACCCAGAAGCAATGGTTGAAGAACACAAAGCCGCTGAAAGGTCAAAGTTCACCTGGGTTCATGAGACACTACAAGTCCTTCTTACTGTTGCCCCAGCGTAAGTGTGTCTTTCCTGACAGTATTGGCTGTGTGCGTGCACTGGCGAGGGCTGCTGTGCAGTCTCATTTGAAAGAAAATATATCGGTAAACAATTTTAAATGCAAAAAAAGTCAGTACTGGAAAAGGTATAACCCTTATGCCAGTGTCTATTGAGCCAGTGTGAATAGCACATGACATGTACAGAAGTGTAACCCTAACAGTCAGGAATCCTTCAATTTTAATTTGATTCTGCATACGCCTGAGGGAATTTGAACACAGAGTTAATAAGCACACCTTAGTTCTCCAATGTAAGCATTTGTAATGTACCTGTGACAGGTGCAATGTTTAACTTGTTTGGGGGCTCCATCTTTGCTGTTATTTTATTTATTTATTTTTTTCCATCGCATTGATTTGTCAACCTTAACATTAACAATCCTGTGATTTCCATATGATTTTACATATACCCTAGGGGGTTTTAAATTTCAGTTTGTTGGTGTTTTGTGGACACCCATCAGGTGCATCATTGTGCATGATTTGTATTTTAGCTATCTAGAACTTAGATTTCCTTAACTAGACCTAACGTGTAGCAGAGCTCTGACAAACAATAAGCATCTTCCTTTTCTGCCTCGGTAGCTGAGGCCTCCAGAAAAGAGCTGTAAAGTTGACCTGTTTAAGCCCTAGCACATGTGGGGTTCTTCACATTCCAACCTTCTCTGCAGAGTAATTACTCCCGTAGGTCCGCTAACTCATTATTATACACATTATTATTACCAAAAGTGGGTCACTTGGGAGACATTCCCATAGGAACGTGCACAAAATTTTTCAAACTTTACTGTCCCATAATTAAATATTTCCTAATCTGATCTGAACCAAACTTTGTATGTTTTCCTTTCAGACCCTAATCTATCATCTCTCAAAATGTGGACAGTAAAAAATTTTCCTCCTTTTGGTAGTTGGAGCATTAGGGAGACATTGAAAGAATGAAAGACATGCGTTTACAGGGAAATGTCGGGTCTTTGGTAGGAATGCACCACAAATGCACAAAAGTTGAAGCATGTTTGGCGCAGGGCACGCTGAGTACGTGCAGTTCATTTATGTTCAAAGGTATGATCTTTGCGTGTGCACCGGGCGTGTGCAGTGCTCAGTTGAAAAACTTCCATCAGTCTGTCTCTCCTTTACAAGTGATGGTACATTTTAACTTAGGCCAGTTAGTCCAGAAGTATTCTGTGACGTTTGGTGAGATGGCTAGTACCACGTTGTAGTAAGGTGGTTCCTTTTTCTCTTCTTTTTGTCAGAACTCCTAAGTTCCTCCTGCCTGTTCTTGCTGACTCCTTCCCGTGGATCAAGAAATCCTCGCATGTCACGGTAAGTCTCCAAGGAGATGTTGCTAAAGTCCTTTACGGAAAGATGTAATCAAAGCCGTCAGAGATTGATAACATGTCCTAAAGAGTGAAATTTAGCTAAGAAAGTTCCAGAGCATTTACTTAGAAACACTTGAGTTTTTCAGACAAGTCTCATAGGTTTGTGCACAGGGGCATCAATTGTTGTCCGTATGTATGGAGCTTTTTCTTTCTTTGCAATCATGAGTTGCAGCATTCAACGAACCGGTGGTAAAAAGCATGCGTAGGATAATAGGGCAAACGATGGCAGGGACAGTTATGGTTGTGATGGGTTGTGCAATGTATTCTAGACCTAAGGCTTAGGGTATGTCTGTGTTATTGATTAACCCTCCTTTGGTTTTACAGCACAAATGTGCACCAATGCCCACAGTCATGGTGTGCCTGTGTTTTCTATATGGAACTTAAACATGCACAGGTTCAGTGTGTACACAGTAGATGACCCAGGGTCTTTTGTGCAGTCCTCTTCACTGCATTTGGTTTACTGCACAATTCTACACATGAAACAGTGAAGCAGAGTTCTTGGGCAGCACAAAAGTGCAATCTGATATTCCTGTGAGGGACTGTTGGTGCAGTGCACAACACGACACAGCTGTGCTTCCTTGAGGTGTTCACCAAATGACCCAAAGAATGACTTCAGCATAGGAGGGTTAATGCAGTAATTTTTGATATTGTTAGTCCAACAGCAGTTGGTTGATATTTGATAAATATCGCTTGTATGTTGTGTCAAAAGGTTTTTAAAAATCACAAGACAAAATTAAAAACGATAAGTTACAGCACCTCGTTTGTTGATTTTTTTATACTTTCAGTTTTATTTTCACACATCATCCGTGCCCTTTAATAATGTGAAATCATATTAAAAAAATTCTCCGCCAGAATGGCTATGCAGAGAACCTGCTTGGCATCACAACTTACCTACCTGAACTCAGGGTGAAAATATTGGAACTGATTCTGCATAGGATGACAGAATTGGATGTAAGTATCAAATTATTGCTAAGATTTTTCCCCCTGATAACTTGCTTATAGTGGTTATTCATTTTTTGGGGGTCGTTTTCACAGCTTTATGTTGGAGCGAGGTTAGCAGCCTGTACACTTGAAGCAGGGCCAAATATCGGGTCTTTTATGCCTTTTTTTGTATAGGAGTGGTTCCCTTCTGAAAAGTACCTGTGTTTTTTCTTTCAGTGTTCTTTGTCCCTTTGTAGTAGTATGTCCTGTGGTTGTTTATTCAAGCCTAAGCTCCGCCCCTTTAAGTTTTGCCACATGGTCAAGCCACATTCAATTGAGCCAGTAGACTGCAGTAGTGAAAAAATAACTGACATGTTCCTCTCCCGCCGTTTGGTGGGACACCGTCACTGAGTCCTGTCTGCTGTAGGGTCATTGATGAGTTTTCTTATGTGTGATAGTTATCCTCTTTCTAGATCACATTATTTTAGGTAGTTGAATTGACTTTTTATAGAAAGTTTCAGCACATGTAGTTATAGTAAAATATTATAAGTTAATCGATCGCTGTTAGGCCCAAAAAAAACCACTCTGTCTCTGGTCAGACCAAAGTTTCAGAATTGATGCAGTGATGCAGGTTTTGTTGGTTTTTTTTTGGTGGGGGATGGGTTGGCTTTTTAAGACTGACAATGGACACCGAAATGAGTGGCATATTTGATCAAAGAGCAAAGGCGAGTAGTAGCACGTCTCACGTCATGCCGCCATTGTTGTCGATCAGCTGGCTGCAACTTTGTAACCCACCAACGGTCTACTGTTGGTGTTCGACATCAACATTCAGTCGTAACGGATCTAGAGCTACCCATGAATTAGTCTGGTTCCTTGAACAAATTGCCCTTCTGACTTGTGGACTTATGGCTGGGAATCGGTCTACTCGCGAACATTCAGGTAGTGCGGAAAAAGAGGGTACTGTTTGAAAAATTTTGAGAAAAAAAAATTGACGGGCATGTTCAAAATCAGATCAGTTTAAGTGGCTGATTTTTATCTTGACATTTCTGTAAATACATTCTTTTTGTTTTGTGGCATTTTTTTAATTTCATAATCCAGAAGATTTATCCTAGTACTTATTAATTCAATTCTTTGAGACCACTACCTTCAAATATCCTTAGTTAGTCTGAGCTTTTTAGTAAAACAGGTTCCCCCATAGTGCATAAGATTTTCAGGTTACAAACACTTTTCAAATACTATGGCATGACATTTTTTAACACTTCAATGTTGGAGGGAGTGTTCATAGGAAAAGAACATAGTTTTTGTGTGCCCGTGAATATAAAAAAAAAGACTGGCTGACCTCTTGGTGAGAGGACAGTGTCAGTGTTAAATGTGTTCATCTTACGTTTGTGCTCGTGGACCAACTCTGAAAGCATGTATTTCTTGTGAACAGAAGCAACTGTAGATTATGTCTAATTTCTTGTGATATTCTCAGGTGAATGCCCCTNTCCTTGAAAGAATTGCCCTTCTGACTTGTTGACTTATGGCTGAGAATCGGTCTACTTGCGAACGTTCAGGTGGTGCAGAAAAAGAGGGTGCTGTTTGGAAAATTTTGAGAAAAAAAATTGACAGGCATGTTCAAAATCGACTTGTGCGCCTACCACAGACCGACTCTTTTTGGGGGGGCCTTACATTGTCCATTGCTTTTGAGAACTTTCAGTTTAAAACTTCAAATAAACTTTCTGAAATCAACTCATGTTTAGCTTAGCAGTGGCTTTTTTTTCTTTTTGGTGACTGCTTTAACAGAAAATATGAAAATCTTATTTGTTTGTTTTCCTTGTAGGACATTCTGAACTGTTGACCAATTTAGAACACGATTCATCTGATGCTTTTCAATGAAACAACTGTAAATGTGCTTTGAAGTTGTTTTCCTTATTTTGTCCTTTTTCACATTTTATCTCTGCTTATGTAGAGTCTCACTATATCTTGTCCATGTGTTGGAGTTTTTATTCCAAAGGCTGACATGGCCAGGGAATAGTGCCACTGGGTTTGTTTTATTATGTAATAATCCACATTTTGGAGGATTAATGTCTCCTACTTCATCATTATGAAAGAGCTGTTTATTTCAAGTTGAATATTCATGAGATACTATTTTTTCTCATATCCAATAGTTTCTTTTCTTGGTTTTTGAGTCAATATTTTTCGTTTCAGTTTTTAAGTCTTTGGTTTAAGTCCATTTTATTTTTTGTTGGTTGTAAAGTTCAGTTTAAGTGGCTGATTTTCATCTTGACATTTCTGTAAATACATTCTTTTTGTTTTGTGGCATTTTTTTAATTTCATAATCCAGAAGATTTATCCTAGTCCTTATTACTTCAATTCTTTGAGACTACTAATGTACCTTCAAATATCCTTAGTTAGTCTGAGCTTTTTTAGTAAAACTGGTTTCCCCATAGTGCGTAAGATTTTCAGGTTACACACACTTTTCAGATACTATGACATGACAATTTTTTAACACTTCAATGTTGGAGGGAGTGTTCATAGGAAAAGAACATAGTTTTTGTGTGCCCGTGAATATAAAAAAAAAGACTGGCTGACCTCTCGGTGAGAGGACAGTGTCAGTGTTAAATGTGTTCCTCTTACGTTTGTGCTCGTGGGCCAACTGTGAAAGCATGTATTTCTTGTGAACAGAAGCAACCGCAGATGATGTCTAATTTCTTGTGGTATTCTCAGGTGAATGCCCCG